CCCATAGGTCCAGTAAGAAAGCTGGAAGAAACAGAAATAAAGAGGCACAGGTAATTTCTACAGAGATAATAACTAAGAATTTTTCAAATCTAATGAAAGACACAAATCCACATGTTAAAGAGATTCTGAGGAAATGCAAATAAAAGAAAATCTTATAGACAAAGACTATATATGAAGCAACAAGAATACAGATTACCTGCCCAGGGATGGCAGACTTATACAATACAGTACTTCTCAACAGCAACAATATAGGACAGTAGAACAGTAATTGGAGAGCATTGAATAAAAACAATATTTCAACCCATTTCTTTTATACCCAGTAAAAGTATCTTTCAAGGTTACAACTTAAAGTCACCAACTTAAGGAAATCCCACTGTTCTGCCAGAAGGAGGGTAATCCCAAGATAGAAAGATTGGTGTGCAGAAAGAAAAGGTATAAAGAAAATAGGAATTGTAGGCGGAGTCTAAGTGAGCATTGACTACATGAAACAAAACCACAAGGTCTATCAGAGTAAGGGGAAATGTGTATTTAAAGCGGCCACAACACTAACCTGTAAGGTAGGAGGGAGCCAAGTAGAGCACTAGCACCCTGAAGCCCTGATGTTCTAACAAGGTGGTAATAAGCTTGGTCTTCATTGGCTGTAAAACTGTGTACATAGTGTCTACTCTAAGAGACAAGGAGAAGGAAATAATAAGAATCTAAACAATCAAGAAAAGAAACAGAATAGAATGTGTGCAAGAAAAATAAAACACAAAATAACATGATACCTTTAAATGAAAATACATCACAGTAAGTGTAAGTGAATTCAGTGTTCCAGTTTAAAGAAAAACTTGTCAAACTTGACTGAAAATGTCTTAATGGGCTATATACAAAGGCTTTGCTTTAAAAAAAATAGAAATATTGAAAAGTAAAAGGTGGAAGAATCACCAAGTGTGGTGATGCACACTTTTAATCCCTGCACTAGGGAGGTAGAGGCAAGTGGAATTCTGTGGGTTTGAAGCCAGCCTTGCTAAACAGAGAGAGTTCCAGGACAGCCAGGGCTATGTAGAGAGACCCTGTCTTCAAGAAAGAAAAAAGTAAAGATGCATATGCCATGTGTATATTATCAGACAGACTAAATTTTAACACAGTCTGACTAGCAACCAAAAGCCTCATATAAAGACACATGTTGTAATGTGTATTCACCCAGTCATGCATTATTAGAATATGTCCAGTGAAAGTCTAAAAAAGACAAAGAAAAGGAAAAAGTAGAAAAATCCACAACATTAGTGGGAGATTTCCTAATACCGTAGGCAGACACAAATTCACTACGAGATTAAACAAAGCCACCACTTCCCTTGCCTGAATGGACACTGAACACCCACGGAATGAATACACATGCTTTCTAAGCACACGTGCAGCGTTCCTCAACCCTGATCGTATACCCTTACATATAAAGGAAGGCACAGCGCGGCTCAGAAGATTGGATCTGCTTACAGTGTGTTCTCTGACTAGAGTGGAACTAAGCCAGAAATTAATACCAAAAATATAACTCCCCTAAATCATGATATGCCTGGAAATTAAGAAAAATGTTCCTAAATAGCTGGTCAAAACAGACATCACAACGGAGATTTAAAAAATGCTTTGAACTGAGAGACCATGAAAGCACGGATACTAAAACATGTGGGGCGTCAGGAAAGATGGGGGATTTTACAGCCCGAGTTGTTTATTTTAGGAAATAAGACAAACTTCAAGTTAATTAGCTCGGCAGATACCACACAAAGTTAGAAAATGAACAGCAAGAGAGGAGCAGGGTTGAGTCCATAAAAAGAAGAAAAGAAATTGGTGAGACAGAAAACAAACATTTAGCAGAGAAAAATCAACACAGCACGTGTTGGCTCTTTGAAAAGACTAACAAAATAACAACCCTTGCAATCTTGTGCAAGAAAAAGAAAAGGGGCCCAGCGTTGGGAATGAAAAGGACCCACACTGCAGATGCTGCAGATGTTGAACACTTAAGAGAAGGTTGTGCTGGACCTTATGCCAGTAAATTGAAAACTTTAAATGTAATGGGAAAAATTCTGAAAAAAAAAATGTGCAAGTTACCAAAAATCATAGTGAAGAGATGAAAAATCTGAACCATCTTCTAGCCATTAAGGAGATTAAATCAGTAGTGCAGACTTCTCGTACAAATTGCACTCCTGCCTCCTCAGACTTGGCTGACCAGGTACAGCCTAAGGGCAGCGCGCTGGCCCTGAATATGATTCCCAGGACAGAGAGGGGGGGGGGGGGTCGGGGAGGAAGCAGGAAGGGAGGAAGGGGAGAAAGGACGGAGAGAAGGAGGAAGGCTTTCACTGGCCAGTTCAGTCCTTCATGCTGTCCTTTTAGAATATTAAGGAGTGTATAGCCTTGATAGAGAAACCTGACTGGGAGAACTATAGACATGTCTTCACCTCTAAAAATAACTAGCAACCAGAACCCATCAATACACAAAGAGGTAAGACAAGGTCAGTATGGTAGCACACACCTTTAATCCCAGGACTCAGAAAACAGAGGCAGGTGGGTATCTGTGAGTTCCAGGCCAGCCTGATCTACATAGTAAGTGTCAGGCCACCTTGGTGTATATAGTTAAGTTCCAGGCTAGTCAACCCTATCTCAAAGAATTATATAAATAAACAAATATTTAAATACACAAATAAATTGCACTTCATTTGCGACTAAAGAGATAGCTAAATGGTTTAAAGCACTAACTGTTCTTGCAGAACCACAGGTTTCATTCCCAGTACCCACAACTGCCTGTGACTCTACCTCCATGGCATCTAATGCCCTCTTAAGGCTTCCACAGGCTCTTGCACACACATGGTTCTCATATTCTCCCATAGGCTCGCTCGCG